TCTTCCAACTTTATTGATTCTGTGATTCTAAGAAAAGCTTATGAATTTTATGGGGTTGTCATTGGTCAACAGGAGACAACATACAAACGTCATGGGTAGGTGCAAGCTTATCCTGGAAAAGGTGTGGGTAGGCCTGGCATAACTGAGCCTGGTCTGAAATTAATCTCTACCCTGAAATTAATTGCATATTGATTTCTTTTCATAATCTTGGGAGACTCTGTTTTCATTAGAATGGTGGATGGAGAAGAGATTCTTTGGCAAAGGTTAAACTCTTTTACATATTTTTTTTTTTTTTGCCACTAGTGTCTTCAAACCTCACATGTAATTTTTTAATGTGTGCAAATCACTTCAACATACCCTCCAATATTTCACAGATGAAAACCAGGAAATGTGTTGCCAAACAACATCAGCATGTGGCCAAGATGGCAAAAGTGATTAATGAGGAAGAACCCACAAACTAGGAGAGGCTGTGACAGTTGGCTTCCAGCTGAGACTACTGGGAAAGGCAAATTTTCACCCCCTTCTCTCCTATCCCCAGTGCTGAGTAAACTAAATCCAACCTAATTTCCACTTTGAACTCAGGGTGTATCTACATGGGCTGAATAAAATGATCTCGCCTGGTTTTCACACTGAGATGTTCAAACAACGTATGGATGATTGGGTCTGAATCCAGGCTTTTTCATTGCCTTAGAACTTTACTCCAGGGGGGGAGTGGGGGTTTAGCCCAGTTTTGAGTAGAAAATCCAGATATTTGCATGTATGTGTGGACTATGCTCCATAGTGACATTGGTGTGAGGTCAGAGAAAGAATTCAGAGAAATGTGAATAAACATGCATACAGGAGGGAGGACTGGAGCAGCCACAGTTGTATGGCCACACATATTGTAATTTATGGGACTGGAGTGAGCTTGAAAGGGAGACCTGTGTGTAGACAGTTTTCCAGAACTTGTCTCAGTGTGTGTAGACAAGCTAGAGGTCACTACAAATCAGAGTAACCCAAAGGTAAACTGGATTTCCTGTCAGTGTAAACATGCCCTCAGTTTTTAGTAACTGAAGTATACTGAGGACAAACCAGAGAGATGGGATTAGGAGAGAGAAATAGATATTTTAAAAGCAGCTTAAAATTGGGATGTCAGAGGACAAAAATTGGGACTGTCCCTGCCAAACTGAGACCTTTAGTGGGTATACTTCAATGTTATTTTGATCTGAATGCAACATAATTAATTTTAAAAATAAATTCTAGCCGAGCAATTACATTTGCAGTCACATTTCAGCCTTCACTGGTGGCTTTTGAAGTCCATTTGAATTAGGGGTGCCAGGTTCTCTAGACAGCAGTAAAAGAAATTGAGACAGTCCTATATGAGGATTTCACAAGTCTGATGAAATGGGGCCCTCTTGCAAGATCTCAGGGCTTCTGTGAGATTTCAAATTTTGTAGGAGCCCCCAAATCCTTGCAAATCCTGCCCTGGCAGGGCAATCTTCACAATATGAGAACTTTACTCTGTTGCCTGCAATCGGCCAAGATGAACAGAGAGGAGGAATAACAGCCCCATGCTAGCCACAATCCAAGAAATTAGACCTCCTGCATTTGGTATATAAAGTCTTCTTTGTTCATGTATACAAAATTCTCAGAAGTTAGTCAGTCTGGTGGGAGTGTAGCTAGTACCTGCTCCCATATGGGACTACGGGCATCCTGGATGATCCCAAAATGTGATTCCTGGGAGCCCTAATATGAACAGACATAGCTCTGCTTGGAGCTCAGACCTGATCCTTAATCCACAATGGCTACCTTAATCCACAAAGAACTCCCAACAGATGACCATCCAGCCTCTGTTTAAAAACCTCCAAAGAATGAGACTCCACCACACTCTGAGGCAGCGTATTCCATTGTCGAACAGCTTTTACCATCAGGACGTTCTTCTTAATGTTTAGGTGGAATGCCTTATATAATGATATAAATGACATAAATGAGCTTGAGCTATAATCATGTTCCGGCCATAGTTGTTAGAATTTACACTTTGATCACACCTTGACATTCCTTCAACCAACATTGTTAGTGGCCATACTGACTTGGAGATTCATGGAGTCTTAAACCAAAAACAAAAGGAAAATTTGCATATTCTGGTGCTGAAACAAATATCTGTGAAGATTTCTGAAGTGGGAAAGCTGATAGCTCTGCAATGAGAGATCTGGTTCAGTTCTGTAGATCAAGAACCAATAAAGCTGACGAGTTGTAGATAGAGTTTTGCAGGCAGAGAGCAATTTTCAGGCTGTGTGTAAGAGAGCGAGTATGCGCTGATATATGCTGACATATCTGACATAATAAAATGGAAAATGTTAATAGACTGCTTCTTAATATTTCTCCTATTCCTGCAGGTTTACTCCTGAGGTTTTGATACTCCTTATCATTCCTAAGAAGGTGCTTTTGGTATTCAGTTTTTAAATTGTCTGAGGACCAAAAATACGTGCAGCATGCCTTTGCAAATGTTGCTCAAAGTGACCTTCAGACAGAGGAATAAGCACATAGAGAAGGAGGAGGGAGAGAGAGATGGAGAGAATCCTCGTTGAAAAATGATTTCCAGAACTGACAGGATTTCCAATTCCTGTCAGTTTTTCAGTGCCACATTGATAGCCTCTTACTCACTGACCCTTCCACTGAGAAGTCTACAATGTGATCTAATACCTTTGGACTGGTGAACAGGTAGCTCCAAATCATTGTTCATAGCTTGAGAGTAAATGAGACCCACCATATTCTTTGTGTGTGAGTGCCCTTACAAAATGATTTGAGCATCAAAATTATTTCCCTCACAGAATTCACTGACACATGCATGTATGTATATCCTTTTCCACATGTAGCATGAGGCTGGATACATTCACTATTAGCCCAAAAGACTTCTTGCTAGATTTTGGAAGAGGTGCTACCAAGGTCGAGGAACTCCACAGGCCAAAAGCTCTCCAAAGAGGGTCCCTCCCTCCAGCCTCTCCTTGCCTTGGGCACTTGCCTCACCATTTTCCCCCTTTTTTATGCTGTCAGTGTTTCTCCCTGCTTTTCTTTATTTGTTTATTCATGTTTTGCCACCTCTTGATTCCTGCTTCTATTTGAGATTTCTTCCTCTGCTAAGCAACATTTAGATTGGTATGGAAAATCTGTTTTGAGCAAGGGATAAAGTCACTCTCAACAAGCACTTCCAAGGAATAAAGGTGATCAAGACATGGTCCTTGAAGAGTTCTTCTTGTACCTATGGCTTATCTGTGGGGTAGAGACTTGGGAAGAGAAGGTTCTCCCTGATACTTCCATAGGCCAGATAGGGTGATCCAGTGGGCTCAACTAGGCCTGCAGTCTGGAGGGAGTGCATCTCTGATTCTGGTAGCTGTTCAAACTATGGGAAAGAGGCTGTAGTATGATAGGAAGTGTGTATTGAGGATAGTCCATTACATTTGATATACTTATGTCAAAGAAATCTGATGCGATAAGGGAAATAGTATTATATTGGCCATATATTACATGCGTACTTGATTGTCCACCAACTTATGCATAGGGGAGTCACTGATTTAGGGCAGGCGTAGGCAACCTTTCCTCTTTAATGGCCGAGGGACTTCAGCTCCCAGAATCCCAGGAGCTATTGGCCAACATGGGACTATTGGCCAACATGGCTGAGGCTTCTGGGAGCTGAAGTCCCTCGGCCCTTAAAGGGGAAAGGTTGCCTACCCCTGATTTAGGGTAACTTCTCAAACCAGTAAGTTCTGTCAGCTGGTCCCTGTGACAGGTCAGGCTCCTATTATTCTCATACCATGGCCCCAGTTTCTGTTTTGATTACAGATCTAAAACATTCCACCTCTGCTTAGTTTCTCAGTATAATTCAGGTTTCTCTGCCAGCATTTTCTTAATTGCTGTAAAAGAGTTGACTTAATAGAGAAAAGTCTGAAGGGATGCTGATTGGATAGCTGTCGGTAGCTTGGATACCAGTTCCTCTGGTTTATCTCTACTGGCATAGGATTTGGCAAGTTAAGAAACCCTCACATGAGGGTCTTTATATTTTAAGCTGCCAGCATGTCATCTGTCCTTCATTTTGCCAGGATACAAAACTCTAGCATTAACTTAGAATTTCATTGGCATTGACATATTAGTCATGCCTTTGACAATGAAGAGACTAAGCAGAAGCATACCCCTACCACCTGATTCCTTTCCTGATCAAGAAACTGTTTTATTTACCAACTAAACTGTTTTATTTACCAATTAGTGCATTAAGGTTTAAAGATATGCAACACAAGTGAATATATAAGGATTAATTTCCTCCAGGAATAAAATACACAGCATTAAATTTTGGAAGATCTTCAAATCTGCCTGTGTCCTAACTCATTCTTATATTTCATTTATTGATTAATTAAATGATTGGTTAGCCACCTGTAAGCTTTGTTTCTCAGTGCAATATATTATTTATTTTGCTAAATTTCTATCCCACTTTCCTGTCCAGAATAGTGTTTGATGCAACTTGGCATAAAATGAGACATTAACTTCAAAACACTGAATCCAAATGTTAGTCTCACTGAAATAAATGGGGCTTGGTCACTACTTATTTCAGCTTCATTGGTTTGTGTAGGTCTAAACTAGTTGGGAATAGCATTAGATTTAGGCCAGAGATTGTAGAGAATACGTTAATAGGAGTATATCAAACTACCGGTAACTAACCTCCAGCCTTTATCTTAACTGTTGTTAAGAAATCTGGGCAACTGAATTGGTCCTAGGATTTTTATCCTAAATTATTTATTTATTTATTTATTTATTTATTTATTTCAAAGATTTATATCCCGCCTTTCTCCACAATGGGACTCAAAGCAGGTAAGTGTTTGTTTGTTGTTGTGTGCCTTCAAGTTGTTTCTGATTTATGGTGACCTTATCACAAGGGTTTCATAGGAAGATTTATTCAGAGGGGGATTGCCCTTGTCTTTCTCTGAGACTGAGAAAGTGTGACTTGATCAAGGCTACCCAATGGGTTTCCATGGCTGAGCAGGGATTTGAACCCTGGCCTCCTGGAGTATACTAGACCAACATTCAAACCACAGCACTACATTGGCTCTCATCCTTAGTATACAAAAGTCTCATTGAAACCAATTGGCCTTTCTTTTGAACTTGTATGGTAAGAGTTAGGTTTCTGGCCAAAGGGCTGGCTTTCACATAGTGGATATGAGAAGGCTTGTTTGTGTTTTACACTATATGTTACTGCATCAATTTGGATGGTTGTATGTGTCCCTCATCCAATTATGCATTTTTTTCAAAAGCTAAAAAAAACCTCATTTTGAATAACTGGGGTTATTTACAGTGATCTCATCACTTTCTAATATCTGATGACCTCATCACACCATTCAGACATAAGTTTCCAGAGTTGTTGCAGAACAAAACAAAAGACACTGGTTACAACAGGGATGAGACTGATCTATTTTAGCTGTGTATCACATGATTTCTGAATCAGAAAGTACAAATACCCATGCACAAACACCCCTAGAGATGCAACAATTAAACAAATGGTATCACTGCAAATGTGGAAGCTCAACTGTGAATAACAGGGACAGGCATGGGAAATAGGGGAGAGTAGCTTGCTGGAATCTTTCATCTCTCCTTTTGTGTCCATTTTTCTTCCATAGCAAGATACAGATTTGGAAACAGGTCAGCACAGTATTCGTTCTGTAACAATAGATGGTCTTGTAGTGATCTAGAGACATCCCAGTTTCTATCAGGAAGGATATTTTTGTAGTATCCACCAAGTTTGTAATTAACATTTTTCCTCCTGGAATTGTCAACATTATTTTCCCAATCCCATGCCACATGAGCCTGTTCAGTTTTGCAATTCTGTCAAGAAAAAATGTCTCAGTCATAGCAGAATGCACCATCATCTGGTTTTGATGATTATATCTGTCTCCAGTACGACAGCTGTTTTTAAAAATGGTGTCTGGAGCTTTCCAAAATGCTGTAGCTAAACTATCTCACATGTGCTCATGCCACAGAGCAGAAAAACAAAAATGTTTTGTGGCTCCTTGTTTGGAACTAATCTGTCCCCAAGACTCATTTATGATATCTCCTCACAGTGCTTGAAATGTTCTTCTAATCACTCAGAGGAAACCAAGAAGCTCTTGTTACATCCTGTTAGTAGTTTTATCTGCCCAAGCCCCTCTAAGAGATACAGAGTCAAATAAAATTATCCATAGAGCTGAAGCAATCCCAGGAGGCTATCTAACTTTCTGTACTTTTCCCTCCCTCTCTTTTTGCAAAGCATTGATCAGCATGCATCATTATCTCTTCCTGTTGGATGGGGGGGAGCAGATAAATCATTTATTTTTCAGCTAGATTGATTTATGTGCATCTTCCACTTTAAAGGTAATTAATTTCATATGAAGTCATTCACTACGTGTAGCACGCAGACGGTTGAAATATTGATGCTGCGTCTCACTGTTATGATGGAGGCACTGCCATTTATCATCTGAATATTCTCAAAGTTTGCAAACATAAACAAAAGGGTTTGAGGGATGAAATATACTAATGTTCTTAGCTCACTTTCCTGCTTTCACTGTTCTCAGCTATCATAGTTTTAGTTAATGAATTGTTGGAAGTTTTTTCTTTGCTTTCTCTGGATGTGGGAGAGTGTATTACTCATTTCTTTGAGTTAGTTGGATACCCTCACTTTTCAGGTTCAATTCTATAAAGCAATCAAAAACAAGAGAGAACTACTTTATTTTACTCTCATTTTATGTAAAGGAGGATTTTTCCAGATCTCATTTTGATTTATTTAAAAAAAAAACATATGGGCCTAAGCAGACGGGCAGCTGTGGGCCGCCCTGGGAAGGTGTGCCGCGGGACCAAGGCATCCCCATGCCTCGATCCAGTGGTGCACCGTCGGCACCCCTGGAAAGCGCTCCTTTCATATGTCACTGAAAGTGCACCGCAAAATGTTGAGGCGACCCTTCTGCCGCAGCGTGTCTGGACGCTGCGTCAGGAGGTCCTCCTCGGAGTGCCGGCCGTGCGGAGGGCCAGCTGCTCTGAGGATGACCTCAGGAGGGGGAGAGGGTGCCGAGCGTATGGCTGCCCCTCCCCTTCCCTGCGCCAAGGATGGCTTTTTAAGCTGTCTGTCGAGACCCATTGTCCCCTTGGTATTTCCTCCTTGGGCCTTTCACAGTACACAGTTATAGCATTATGATTCCACTTTAACTGCCATGGTTCCATCCATGGAATCTTGGGATTTGCAGTTTAGGGAAGGATATTTAGAATTCTCAACCAGAGAGCTCTAGGGCTTTCCCAAATGAACAGTCCCCAGGATTCCATAAGATACAGCCATGACAGTGAAAGTGGAGTACAGTGTTATAATCAGATAGTGTGAAAGGGCCCCTTTGTTTTTGTTTTTCACTTTTTCTAGTGGCCCAGATGGTTCTATGTCTTTAATACTTGGGCCTCTACAGACTGGCCCAAAAGGCTGGCCTGGAGGCAGGGATGGGGAGGGACAGCCGCACACTGGGCACCCCAACCCCACACCGAGTACGTCGTGATGGTGCGTGACATTACACATGGCGCATGACATCAAGATGTACTTCAGGTGCAGCGTCCTGACATGCTGCTCTGGAAGGGGTGCTAAAGAGCCATGAGGCAGCTCTTAGGGCCCCTTTTTGCCAGCTCTGAAAAGAGCAGCATTTTCCGGACCCAATATAAGGTGTTGGTTATTACCTTTAAAGCCCTAAATGGCTTGGGCCCAACCTATCTTCAGGATGGCCTCCTCCCATACAATCCTTCCTGAGCACTCCGGTCCTCTGGGAGGAACTTACTCCAGCCATCAAAATCTAGGCTATCTGTAACCTCCCAGAGGGCATTCTCGGTAGTTGCCCCCAGATTATGGAATGGCCTGCCAAACGAGATCCATCAGATTACAACGCTAAACAGCTTCAAAAAGGCTGTTAAGGTGGATCTCTTCTGACAGGCCTTTCCAGAATAGATATCCCAGCTTCAGGAACCTCCCTTAGTTTGCCCTCTCCCATTTTGATACATTATTGTCTACAATCTAGTTTTATTCTATGTTTATTTCATTAAAATGTTTTAATCATTGCTAGTTTAATACTTTTTTAAGGGGTGGGTGGGTCTCAGGTTTCTTTGTATTTATATTGTACAAATTTTAATTGTTGTTAGCTGCCTCGATTGTGTTCAAAGGGGCGGGGTACAAATAAAATGTATTTGATGATGATGATGATGATGATGATGATGATGATGATGATATAAATCAGCAGATGCAATTTAGATATAAATATGCATGCCCATTTCCCATCTTTTTTTGGTGATGCCTTCCCTCTTTTTGGTCAGTACTAGTGCATCTAGTGCAGGGGTAAGCAACCTTTTCCCTTTAAGGGCTGAGGGACTTTAGCTCCCAGAATCCCAGGAGCTATTGGCCAACATGGGATTATTGGCCAACATGGCTGAGGCTTCTGGGAGCTGAAGTCCCTCGGCCCTTAAAGGGGAAAGGTTGCCTACCCCTGATCTAGTGGATGGCCATCTGTCGGGGATGCTTTGATTGGGAGTTCCTGCATGGCAGGGGGTTGGACTGGATGGCCCTTGTGGTCTCTTCCAACTCTATGATTCTATGATTCTATGATTTAAACTGTAAAATAATGCCATTTGACAGCACTTTAACTTCCATGGCTCCATCCTACAGAATCCTGAGATTTGGAGTTTTATGAGGCATCATCACTCTTTGGCAGAGAAGGTTAAGAGGTTATAAAACTACAAATCCCAGGATTCCATAAAATGAATGCCATGTCAAACGGCATTATTTCTACAATGAAGATACACCCTACATCAGGTATCATCCTAAGTAAAGGCAGAAAAGCAGCAAGAATAGTGTATAAACACTCTTCCACACCATTCCTCTTGGACAAGGTTTTCTTCCTCCAATGGGATTGAAATAAACCGTGAATTTGTGACAGTAATGTGAGGAAGAGAAACAGCAAGTGCATTAAAACATAAGGATAGGCTCTGCTCTACAGTCATCTATTCCAAACTGCTTTTCAGATTTTTTAAAAGGCATTAAATATTAGGTTAATTTGTAACTAATGCATATGTAGTACTTGAGATCTGGGAAGGCATCTGCTAGATGATGCATCAGTCCTGGCCTAGTTGCCAACTAATCTTTTACAGAGGCCAAATTAGGAATTCAAATGTGGCTCTAAGGCACATCAGATGCATTTGTTCTGTTTGTTCCTGTAGTAAATTCAGGTATGCTACCCCTCACACTGGATGCATATCATTCCTACCCTCCAGATAGGTATTGAGTTCATCCTCTAACCAACACATTTACTACTTCAAAATATTCTGCAGTTTGTAGCATGTGCCAATGCTGCCATATTGTTAACCAAATAAACATGGAGTTAACATGTTTGAATATACAAATTTAAAAATCTGTTATAATATATAAGCAACATCTGCAATTTGATAAGAGTTGTCTATTTGTCTAATAGTTAAATAGTTAATAGTTAAAGTTACACTTTGCAAGAATGGACAAAGCTGTTTCCTGAGTCTCTGTTTCTTACCAAATCTGCAGAAATATGTCTTATGATCTTTATTGCAGTGTTGTATAGTTGAGTAATTGGGTCTCCCACTCAGTGGCATCACTAGATTTGATGTCACCCAGTGTGGTAACTCATGGTTTCACACACACACACCATTGACCTCCTCCTATACCCCATCATACAGCAGGGATAGGCAACCTTTTTGAGATCTGGGCCGGTCTCCCATAGCCCAGGTCTCGGCTGGGCGAAGGGGGGGGAACGGTGGCGTGCGCGCACCCCCACCGCCGTGCACGACCCCCCCACATAGTCCAAATCGTGGCCACAACATGTTTGTGCATGCGCAAGAGTACTGCGCATGCGCAAACGCGTTGTGGCTGCCATTTTGATTTCCAAAATGGCGGCTGCAGCGAGGGCAGCTGAAAATGCGCCCCTGGAGGCGGCGCATGGCGGCGGCGGCGTGCGGTGGTGGCGATCGCAGCAACCTTCGGCCTGGGCCAGTAAGTCTGGGGCCCGGGGCCTTAACCGGCCCCCAGGCC